GCGGACCGGTACCGGTCCGCGGACCGGCGGTTGGGGACTCCTGGTCTATATCACCAATTTTGTCCGTAGATATATTTACCTGGTACACAGTCATAGACCACCCGCACATTATGGCCACTCGCACAATATGATGATCAATCAAACAAAAGCTGGAAAAAAAAATCTTCCATTACAAATATAACACTGGTCAAGTTTTACTCTCTCTTTTTTTTTTTTAACCAGAGATTCAAGTAAAGTTTTCCTGATCTTTTTTTTTTTTACGCAGATTTAGAATTTTATAATAATAATAATAATTACAATAATCTTGAAATATATTCAGTAATATATACTAATTAAGCGGTTCAGCAACAGGTGGATTTTTTTCTGAAATAACACAACTTATCTAGTCCTACCCCTTGTTGTGTAATAATATAAATAGATCATTTTTCAATGCAAAAGAAAAGGAAGAGATCTACATCTCATCAAGTACTTATGTGTACTGTACTTATCTATTTATACACCTTTCTATATATATATATATATATATATATATATAATAACTTTCACAAGTAGTCCGTTCAGCTTCACTTTTAACTCTTCTCACAAGCATTTCCTTCACATACAAAACTTTTGTTTCTTGAAATACCCTTTTCCGCATTTAATTTCAAATCCTTTTTGTGGCTAAAATGTATTTCCGAATGAACTCTTTCTTGAGCTCTTCTAGTCCCATGATGGCAGATGGTCTTTTGTTTGACCAGTGTTCAAGCTGTCAATCTAATATCAGATTTCCAGGACTTTTTAGGACATCCAGAGCAAGATGACATTTGCCCATCCCACTGAAGCAGTTTTGGGGTCACATTGAGTGAAATGTCAGTGTTTTAATGGAGGCCATCTAACTTAACATGAGCTGTAATATAAATGTAACTCGCAGTTCAAATTGAAGACTTGTAAGGAAGGGCTAAGAAGGTGTTTTGCAGCGCAGGTCAGATGGCCAAACTGTAAACTGTCTGACTGCCGTGCAAAACTCATCATGTTTTATGAGCAAGTGAAGGATGACAGAAAATTAGTACTTTTATAGCTGAGAAAAAAAAAACATCAATTGATTTGCCCTCAAGTTTTATTCTGCAGCTCAAGCTGATGTTGAATGTGTTAGCCTGAAAAAAAAATAGTCATGCCATTTCTGGGTTTGGATCAATTGATCCATCTTCATATTTAAAATTGATATTGACCTATTTTGTCTGGTTTCCCATGGTTGGGTACATTGTCGCACACGATTCCTTGTGTGTTGTTTGCAGGCATGGCCAATAAATCGGATTCTGATTCTGATTCTGTTTCTCATAAATGCTCAATGTGTAATCACCCCTACTTTTACAAGGCCTGTCAAATATATCGTACGTCGGCATTGTAGTAGTTTTGCCATCTTGTCCTCGTGTAATGTTGGCCAAGTTTGTGAAATTGCCCAGCTGTGGGCCCTTGTGGGGCAGCGTCTCGAAATAGAACTTCTAATATACTTTACTTTTGAAGAAATTAGACTAAATTGGACATATAAAACCTCTCATGAAGAGATTAAAATATTCTCACATGGTGATTTTAATGGAGTTGTTAAATGCAACAGATTCTTACATTTCAACAATTTACACAACAAGACCCAATTTGGTTTTAGCATTTCATTACGTCAGTCTGTAAAACCTTTGAAGAATATATATGAGTTGGTCAATTAAGACTACATCAGTATGACTTGGATTATCATTTGAGAAAATAATTTAACAAGTTACTATGTTACGATGTCAAAGTGTCTTCACAGCAAATGCACCAATGCACCCCCCCCCCCCCCCATTTTCCTCCATCTCTCATCTGTCGACCAGATTGTTTTCGGCTTGATGAATTATTGACGCAGCTTTTTGGTATTTTGGTCCACCTGTCACAATCTAAACATTTGACCAGATTAAAATGATGACAGAATAAATATGGGCTGCGACAGATTTTTCTCTCTCCTTTTTGTCTTTTCTGAACACTGTGGCGTAACATCATTGTCATTCACCTGTGCTCTTTTATGATCAAATGGCTCACACGCTTTTGTGTTGAAGACATATCGACAGAAGCATCCGTTGTGCATGTTGCATCCTGTCATCTCAGTGTTTCTTTCTTCTACTGAATGTCTAATTATCAACAAGGGTGTGCACACAACAACGAGACTGGTAAAATAACCTAGTGCAAGCACATTGTGGAGTTGTGATGCTCCACTGAGATCAGCTGATCATGCAAAGCTTGAAGATCTCATGCGAGTTAATCCTGTACTTTGATCAGCAGGATAGAACGGGGCGTTAAATCATGTAAGAACATGAAGGGGTTTGTGTTAGGACAGAATATTTTAGGACATCATGCATCTGATGTGGGGAAGTGAATATTATGGCGGAATGTCTGCAGCATGAAAAACATGCGTGATACAAATGATGGAATGTTGGGCTTGTTAGCAAATAGCCAAATCGATTGGCTCGTCTTTGCCTAACACATTTCTATGCCTATGGTAGTCGTGACCTGAATATGATGCAAATAAACACATAATGTCAGGAGTCCTACCTCTAATCCGCAATCACTGTTGGTTAACCATTTAGAATCCTGAATCCATTTGAATGGATTACTAATTGTACTTTTGCCCAAAAACATATCATATATAGAACCAAAATAATGAGACTTCCAATTTTCTCATACTGGTAAATGAACTGCACCTTTATAGTGCTTTATCTACACCATTTATTGTCTGTCCCAAGCGCCAAGACTCAAATTCACTTTTTTTATAAAAGCTGATATGAAAACATATCAAATGTTCATAGATTAAGATACTTTAACTTCCAGAATCTCCTGTCGTACTCTGTCAAATATTAAAAACCACCGTGTTCTTCCTGCCATCCATGCATCCATTTTCTGAAGCGCTCATTGTTTTGGACCAAATTTAAATCCATCCGCTTGTCAAACAAGCTGCTAGCTAGCACTAAGGTTACGTGCTAAGCCAAGTGTGTCCTCTTCAGCATGCAAGTGGCCGCACTCCTTTTTTTCTGCTGCTGCGACGGTGTGAGGCCAGTAATGGATTAAGAAAGACAAAAGCATTGATAAAGTGTCTAGCTGGGTTTAACAGCTGAATTTAATGATCGATAGCGGCTAAATACTCCCATTCCCACGCATACGCTTGCATGTGTTCTTAATCTTTAATGCTCACTATGCTAACAGCAGCTACCACAAAACTGCATATTATCTGTTCAACTATTGAGTGCATGCCAGAAAGATCGAGACACAGCGATGGAGCCTTATTCCGCCCTAATGCATCAGAAGGTCTAATCTGTCCAAACTAGTTTCTACTCTTATACCATCTTGGCCGCCCACCCACATGGGGGTGGCTCCATCTAGACCATGTGACAATGTGTGACCTCACGGTTCAAACTGAAATCAATTACTATGCCTGTCAAGTGTTTCATAGAGAAGGGAAGCCAAGTGAAAGCAAGGGAAAAGTCACAGCTAGATAACGGCCTGGCTCAAGTCACCCATTTAATCACATACGCCCAATGGGGTTAATCTAACAAAAGCTCCTCCATACTGGTGTATAAACCATTCACTTATTTTTCCTACTTTCTGTGTGGCCCTATAGAAAATGAACACCACCTTGGTGGTTAGGAAAACCCTCGATGAAGGGAATTTCATATCATTCTGTTCATACATCATCTGTAAAAATTGGCGTCATTAACTACACTTGATTAGCCAAAACATGGCAAAGGCCCTGTCCATTACTGTATGACTCCCAGAAACTGTTATTAAAGGTAAACTATGAACTCCCAATTAAAACACATCAAAAGGCAAAAAAACATCCATCCAACTCCCTTGTAACAAACCTGTTCTAAAAAAGCACAAATGTTTTTTTTTCTCTTCAAAAAGTCAGTTTACCCAACCCTCAAGATTGCCTTCAAGGTCTGCCCTCCCGAGCTGGAGTTAAAATTTCTCAATCATCATTTGACAAGGCGTTGTGGAGACCTACATTATGAAATGGAGAAGTGGGTTTAGTGAAAGAGTCAGACGCAGTCATCGACTGAAAGGAAAATTCTAACGAGCTTCAAGAGTGCCATCTCTGCCGAGTCTCAGGGGAGTTACATATTTTGCTTCTGCTGTCAACAAGTCAGTCGATTCAACAGCACAAAGTTGGTCCCAGTAAATAGCCAATCATTAAATTGTCAAGAAGCTCAAAGTAAAAGTTTTTTTGTATCCTGATCCTAAAAATCAAAAACATTTTTTTCTAAGAAATATTTAAGGTGGTAACATCATGAGACGTGTTCTATTCCTGATAGTCATTTGGCATACAAATATCATTTTCCCCACGTGACAAATAACACGAGGCGTGCATGCTGCTCTTGACATCTGCTACTTATAAATAACTCTACCCCGGCTAGCAGTTGTTGGCAATCCTGAACCTTTTTATTTGAATAATATAGAAACTAAAAGGTCATTTTCAATTCCTCTTTCCACGCTTCAGCATTATGATGGCAAATAGGCAGAAGTTGCACCCAGATGCAACCACCATCAAGGTTTAGTCTCTGCCTCCAACTTTATTTGCAGTGACAGCTCCACTTGGAGAAGCTAATCGGAGCTTTCTGAGGCAGACAGAACATCGCCTCGGGGTCTTTTACATTTACATTGTCAGCAATATGCCATATGTACAGTATTCACCGGAGAAGCTGTGCCTTAAGCACAACCTGTTACACAAACTAAATATTTGTTCTTGAATATGCTCCAGTCAAGTAGTCTCTCGAAGCCACTTCCAATCTGGATGTATGCCTAAGACGTCAGTTGAGGACATTAAAATTGTTTTTTTGTTTTTCCCCTTTTTGGGAAAGCCCAGGGAGAAGGGTTACTCAAGATTTGTCTTGATTTTGATCTGTATTTAAAAAAAAAAAACAAAAAAACAGCTGACCCGCAGGGTAGCTTTAGTTGACAACCATCACATCCTGGAGCATTGTCAGGACAAACAGAACACCAGGGCTGGGGTTTGCCATGGTTTAGTTTTCAAAAACGTGTTCCTGGGCTGTATTTACTCTGCCGGTTGAGGTGCCCAAGTTCAATTTACTACCCGTCTCATTTTTTTTTTCAGACCCAATATTTACCAATATTCATCTCATGTATTATATTGAAACCATATTTATTTACCCTTTCACTGTAGTTTTGATGTAAGGTGGATGTTTTGAGCTTGGGAATTGCAATCTGTGTATTGTGTATGTATACTGTATTTCCCATTCTCAGGGGAAAACATGTATTTCCTTTAATAGGTATCAAATATGCCCACATTGATCTGTATATTCTGATTCTTCAGTTATCACTCGGTTGTTCCAAAGTGGGAGATCAACGGTATTTGTTTTTGAAAAGAATGGAGCCATCTTGCTGAATCGTACATCCTCTTTGCTGAGACTCTTGCTACAAAAGTAAATGTTCTGGTCTGTCAAAAAAAAACAAAAAAATTAAAAAACCGCCATCATTCAGCATGTCTGCAATATTCTTTTAGAACACGTAGCACAGGAACATGCCAAGACAGACTCTTTTGTTCGTCACAATTTACCCGTGTCATTTTGTCAGTTATCCACTCTGTGAAAAAAGCATCACCTCCCTGAACTTGCAGTAGGTGTGAAGAATAAAGACTGTCTTGTTTTCTCTCTCTAGGAAACATCAATGACTGCTCACTGCACTACTACTTTTTTCTCCTGGCTGGAATTCAGGGCGTCACTCTCCTCATCTTCCTGATCGTTACTTTTAAATATGACAAGCAAAGGGGCCGAGCAGGAAGCCAAAGGCAAAGATACATCTCGTCCTGACCCTGACACACTTGGCTTGTATCGCTCACATCCCACCTGCCTGTTTTTTTTTTACAAATGCTTTTGAAAGACTGCGTGGCTGGAAAGGCTCTGCTGCAAAATGTTGAGCCATTGCAGGAGTCGCGTTTCCTGCTCTCAGTTTACTCCGCTGCCTTCATTTGCACGAGACCCACCATGGTACCAGAAGATTACCGTGAGAAAAGTCTGCACACCTCTTTTCAAATGCAGTTTTTTTTTCCAATATTAAAAACAAGTGAAATCATTTCTAAATGTTATCAATGTGACCTATAACCTGTCAAGCTCAATTTGAAACAATATTTTCCAGAAGGTGAAGTAAATATTTCATATGATGTGCTTGCACACACACTCTCCTATAATTCGGCATGTGGTTGCTTACAGAATTAATCAATTACATATAATCTCATCTCAAAAACTCACACCTGCCATGATTGAAAGTGCCTTTATGAAACCCCCAAATGAACTTCAAATGTTCTAGTAGGCTATTCCTGGCATTTTTGTCATCACAGACTCTTGTTAAAAGCGTGACAAGAGGCTGACCGTGCATGTTCGTACATGTGACAACGGTCTCTCATCTTCAGATGTTTGGACTCGGGCTTCATCTTACAGTGAAGAAAAAGACACACTTGAACTCTCCCAAACACACACTCATGTGTTCGGCTCCGATGAAACCAAGGTTGAACTTTTTGGCTATAATTCTAAAAGGTATTTCTAAACATCTCTCATCGTCAGACACCATACATGCTTTGGGGTGATTTTTCTTGAAAAACCTGATGGAAGGAATGATAAACAGTCCAAATGTCAGTCAGTCTTCAGACTTCTGCTGAAAAGCAAAACAAACAACAACAACAACAAAATGTCCAGGTTGTAGATCACATTAATGGTGGAAGAAGTGTTGAAATGATTTATCTTGGTCTCGTTTCTTTATAGTATGTCACAAAACCTGGCTTTTTATATCCGCTGTATACTGTCAAAATATTTTTTATGGTAGTTGAGCAGTTCTTATTATTCAGTCAGCAGTGCACTATTTTTCTGACTAACCATTTTGACTCCTGACCTTGGTGTGAAGCATCAGTATTTTGTCAAATCGTTCAAATGATTTATAGATATAAATGATGTGTTTAAATGTAGAATTTCTTAAACACACACATGCGACTGTTGGAGAGTGGCGGTTACCGATACTATGCAGAAACAATCATTGATTAAAATGCAAATTCTGTATTGCAGTTTGTAATTAAAGTGGACATAAACGTTCACATTGTTAAGATTCGAGTTTGAGGAGACATTGACTGAACAAGTTGTGTTTATTTTATCATTTCATTTTTTATGTTTTCAGTCCACTGGATATACTCTGAGAGCAAAATATTGAAATGATTCCAATGAAGCCTGAATGATTATTATTTTATTTTGGTGGGCAAAGCTGCAATAGTCGCGGTCAGTTTGATAAAAAGTTGGAAATATATGAGGAAACTGGAACCATACTGGAACAATGGCTCGAAGATGCAGTTAATTTGTAATTTCCTTCACTGTTGGAAAGATGCATGGCAAATGTAGGTTCAACAAATTTAACAAAGCTTTTTTACTGTAAATATGTTTTTTTTTAAATATATATTGGACTGCTCGCTACCCTTGTAGTGTCGGATGGAGAGCTGCTGTGTTGTCATACTTCCATTTCAAGTTCTGTAAAACTGTCTCTAAAATGAGAAACCACTCAATGGCTTAAGGAAGAGTGTTTACCCCCTTCATGCATTTAAAACTGCCTTTAGAGAATTTATATCAGAGTTTACATCGTGGCATAAATGTGTTACATTTGTAAAATTGCATTGGCTTTTAGCATCATTTTTGTTTGTGTTTGATCAATTAAACAAATATAAATAATCCTTGTGGTATTGCATTACATTTTTGTGTCGGTTCTCCATTTTGGAACTTGAACAGTGTATTTGTCCTTAAAGATATTTCAAATTGAATCAGTTGCGCTTCATCATTTCAAAAGCTGAGCATTCATGCTAGTGACAAAACTGACAAATGAAGTAGTACACTTGTTACGGATTATACCGAAAAGTTGCTTTTGTCTAATATTGATGTAAACAAGGTTTTACAAGAAACAGTTTGAGGAGGTGTCATAATGTCATTGTAGGGATGAGGCTTTATCGGACTTCGAGTGAAGTCAAAGTGGAGTAACACTTTTTTTTTTTTTAATTAAATACCCTCTTGTGCTGGTTCTGGTTTGACTAAGGCTGCAACCACAGCTGTATCAAACCCTCACTTAATGCTTGACTTGGGAATGAAGCCCACTTCTTGTTTTCATCAGATACCAATTGAAATTTCAAGAGTCAGCACCAATCATTCTTCAATGCAAAGCACTCCAGTTATTGTTAGGGACAGTTAGGAGATTTGTCTTCAGATCAACCTGTGAACTCTCAATGACATTCCTGGGGTATGTGACACACTGACATAATGTACTACAATATATGCTTCCAAATGTAATACTGACTCTCACCTGTCTAATGAGCGAGCGCAAGATCCTGCTGACAACCTTCCTTCAGTAATTGGGGGATGAGTGGGTAACAGCACCACAATAATTAAGATAAACTACTGCAGACCCGCTGTTTAAGAATATAGCAGAGCAGACGTAACCATTATGGGTGCTAATCGCTTGCGTTTACAGAGGCGTAATTATCTTATCAGGGTTGTCTTTGTTCATCTGCATCCCGGCGGCTTTTCTGTGACTGGGAGAGGAGATATGCCCGAGAGTTATTCCACAGATTGAAAGAGTAGCTTTTGGAGACTCACTTTCATTGGTGAAGTGTGGTACTTTGGTTGGTTGAAAGCATTCAGATCAGGGACATGTACTTCGTACTTCATGTCAAAAGCCAATGTGATATGCCTCTTGATAGACTCCAATGATACGACACATTTAAGGTCCACATAAAGCAGCTCCCAGTGAAATATGACACGATTCACTCCGATTGTCATCATTGGAGTGAATTGTGTCATACAATTACAAGCCAATACAATGATGGAATTTGCAAAAACCACCAAGCCCCTTTGTTGCCACTGCCGCCATGGTCCATCAATGAAAAGCGTGTCCGTGTGTGTGACCATCGACCACAGGTGTTGTGTTCTGCCGGTGTGCCCTGCATACCGGCCAGGTGGTGGGCGTGACCAAACAGGGATAGGTTGCAGCAGAATTGATATTTTTTGACAGATTACATGCACAATAGGAAGAGATGTGATGCATTTTGAACGTCTGAAGACCACACGCGAACAATTTCGTCCAGTCTCGTCAACAAAAACTCACATCACGTCACGTCACATTTTAGTCATCAAAAGACACGTTTGGGTCGTCGTCGTCTCATCATCATGAAAAAAAGAGGCATTATTGAAATTATTTCGTCATCGTTGATGAAAACAACACTGCTTCGGTCCATCAGAATAAGTAAAAGTGAATAAGTCCATTGAGCCAATGCAATACAGGGTTGAAAAAAAAAACATTCCTTAAAAGTTCGGAACTGTCTGGACAACAACACGTCCGGTTCAAGTATTTTTAAATGTAAAGTGTATTTTATTATCTTCTTCATGGATTTAAATGACTCAGGGGGGGGGGGGGGGGTTTTCTTTTTTTATTTAAGCCAGCCTCAGCTGCCAGTGAATCACACTTCTTTGGTGTTTCATGTTCATTCGCAGCTTATGCTCTGTGCCTGCATCAGAAGTCTAGATGGGAGAATATGCGTAAATGAAGAGTTTGCCAAGACGCCTTAAAAAGGACTTACATGTTTATGTGAGAAAACTGTCCAATGTGCCCAGCAATTGCGAGTCTCAAGGTTCCCCACCTCTTGCCCGAGTCAGCTTGTATTGGCTCCAGCTCATCCACAATGCAACTGAGAACAAGCACTGCAGTAAGGCAATCATGGATGGAAGCATAGACGTGTCTCGCCCATTTTGGGGGTTGCTGAAGCACCCGAAAGTAAATCAAAGCACCCTCAAAATTTGACAGACCTTGAAATTTTATCGACTGTTTTTCCTTTTTTAACAGACTCAAGAAACCGAACAGTACTTGGTGGAAACGTAATATTTTAGCAACAAAAATACAGTCCCCACCATTCTGTGTCAAAAATGGTTCGAGCCACCCTATTCCTCCCACCTCTTGTGACTGAGCCCCACGTAAGTACGCAGTCCTCTAGTCATAGGGAGTACAAAAGCAAGCAAGGGAGTACACCCTATTCCTCCCACCTCTTGTGACTGAGCCCCATGTAAGTACGCAGTCCCCCAGTCATAGGGAGTACAGGGCACGCCTAAAAGCATTAAATTTTCTCAATAAAGCATTCAATTTTCTCGATAAGCCGATTCGCCTAATATAAAGAGAGTGCAAATTCCCCATTGAGGTGTTTCCCTGTTAGTGTTACTTTCTCGATAAGCCGATTCGCCTAATATAAAGAGAGTTTCTCTTTATAATCCCCATTGAGGTGTTTCCCTGGTAGTGTTACAATGGTGATTTTTAGCAGGAACCATTTGTAACCTAAAAGGGTTCTGCCCGACACTAATTGACATGTGCATTCGCCAACACAGACTCAGAGAACTACAGTACTTTGTGAGATCCGCGCAGCCATTATAAGATGAAGATAATGTGCATTTGCCAACACACACTCAAACAGAGAACTACAGTACTTTGTGAGATCCGCGAAGCCATTATAAAACGAAGATAACACCAAAAACATAGTTAGCTTCAGACGAAACGAAGGAAGGATCAGACAAGCAAGACTGCTAAAGATATTTAGCCCCTTGTGGATGTGAGCCCACGAGGTTTGTGCACCTTTTTGTTGAATTAATTGTCCTCATAACTTTTGTCCTTCATTTATGGTTTTGTAATGCCATTTGTAGTGGATGTGAGCCCACGAGGTTTGTGTGCCTTTTGTTGAATTAATTGTCCTCATAACTTTTGTCTTTCATTTATTGTTTTGTCATGCCATTTGTATGTTTCATTTTTGTGTTTGTGACCAGTTCTTATGGCCTTGTTACAGCTGCAGCGGTTGTGAGGGCTCTATCTAAATAAAGCTGTATTGTATTGTATTCTTTTTAGCGTAGCACCATCTAGTGGATGCATAGCACAATCGCAACTAATATTGTAGCTTCTATTGTATGCGCTTTATAATGAAGTGCACCCTATGTATGAAAACAGTTTTAAAATAGGCCATTCATTGAAGGTGCGTTTTATAATCCGAAGCGACTTATAATGCAGAAAATACGGTAGTTTGAGCGATTACGAGTTTCGCAATTAAGGTTGAGATTAGTCCAACCTTTCCTTAAAAAAAGGACATGTGGAAAACTGGACTTCGACCACTCAACGTCAACACATTGGGCCTGACTTTCATTCCTAGCTCAAGTCTAGTGCAAATCGCGGTCAATCTGCCCACGGGTGGATGAAGTGCACCCTATGTATGAAAACAGTTTTAAAATAGGCCATTCATTGAAGGTGCGTTTTATAATCCGAAGCGACTTATAATGCAGAAAATACGGTAGTTTGAGCGATTAGTCCAACCTTTCCTTAAAAAAGGACATCTGGAAAACTGGATTACTATCACTCAACGTCAACACATTGGGCCTGATTTTCATTCCCAACTGAAGTCTAGTCCAAAGTGCGGTCAAATTGCCCATGGGTGGCGTTTTCTTTCTTTTTGTAATTTGCTAGACTTTGTACTGGTAGACTTGGGGGGAATGGGGCATTTGCACTGTTGTGCTCCGTTGTGGAATGAAACGTAGCATTTCTCCGGCCAATTGTAGTGGCATCTCTCATTTCCATTAAAATCAGAGATATATATATATACACACACACATACATACACACACACACACACACACACACACACACACGGTATATATAACACACACACTTATACATACATTTCATAGTGTGGATGCATTAATTTGCAGGTATCAGAATAAATATATCTCACCCTCCTACCATACCGGTGCCAGGTGATTCTTGGTAGCCCTCTGACCTTTTGTTGTTTTCCAGCAGGCAGAAAACATCCCAATTTGTCTTGGTTGATATGTTGCTCCACGCATGGAGCCCTGCTGGTGCTCCAGGACTGATAGTGACATGCTGGATGGTGTTCCAGCCTCAGCTGCAAGAAGGATTTAGACAGCAAATGCAATTGTGTTTTTGCCTTTGGCTTTTAGAGTCAGGCATGATATATCTTGGTTGTGAGTACAGTTGTCTGCTCTCAAGCAGTCAGCAGGAAAAGTTTCATGGTCATTTGAAGTGTTTTCCTTGTCTGATGATACAACAGACTCTTTTTTGGATGTGACTGTCTTTCCACTGTTTTACTGAGCCATACAATTACGTGTGTCGCAGATGTTTGTTATGTTTAGTTAATCTGTATTTGAATCTGAACCACATAATTCCACTAAGTTCCATTTGGCTGCATTCCCTCGTTGTAGTGATCATTAGGTCGGAAATTGAAGGAATCTCTTTTTCCTTGGAGTAACAGCTCTCACTGAAGCTGTTGTCAAAGAATGCATTTTTAAATATCTTGGCCTTAAAAAAAGGCACTTCATCAATCTTTGAGAACCAAATTGAAAGTAATTGTTCAAAGTCGAATAAGTTGTATTTTAAAAAATAAAGTATCCTTTGATGTAGGCCTACACACAGTAAGAGAAACAAACTGCAGCAATCTAAAAATTACACAGAATACAGAAATCCAGTTCCTATACTTATAAATTTAATTTGCAGGCTCTCAAAACCAAAGAGCGTGCTGCAGATATCCTGGAGTTTTTTCAATGGATTCGGCAAGGTTAAATATAATATACAGGAATATATAATGGAGTGAAGACTATGTAATAGGTGGCATGGTCAGTAAGTGGTAGGGCATTTGTCTCACCGGTCTGCAGATGGGGGTTCAAATCAGGCCTGTGCCTTTCCTATATGAAGTTTAATTTGCGTCTACATTTCAAAAACATTCATATTAGGTATATGATATCAGTAAATTGTTCTTAAGTGTGAATGTGAGTGCGAATGGTTTTTCTACGAATAGCGATGGTTTCTTTATATGTGCCCTGTGATTTGCAGGCGACCAATTCAGGGTGTACCCTACCTTTTGCCAAAAGTCAGCTGCGATAGGCTTCAGCACGCCGACGATCCTGATGATAAGCGATATAGAAAATACAGTAAATGGATGGATATAATTAATCGGCCCTGTGATTGGCAGGCGACCAGTTCAGGGTGTACCCCACCTTTTGCCAAAAGTCAGCTGCGATAGGCTTCAGCATGCCGACGATCCTGATGATAAGCGATATAGAAAATACAGTAAATGGATGGATATAATTAATCGTGGAGTTGAGGGTCAGTCTCAAGAAAATGTGCCCTGAAGCTCTGTTTGATAAAATTGTGTTGTTGATTTCCAGTGACTCTGCCATCCTTCTGTGGAAATTGTAGTAAAGCTGCGGTGCACTTATTTTAAAAATGGCTTTGGAAAAAAAAAAAAAACAGCTAGTGAATCATTTGGAAATTGCAAACACAGACCACAGGGAGAACTTCCATGCATTAATGAGACCTTGTTGTACTCACATCATTAATTTCATTAAAAGCCAATTTAAGATGGGGGCCTCAGGGGAGATCCTGCTCACTTTTATTCCAGGGAAGCCTTGACTTAACTGAGCAAGTGTTCAGTTTCAATATTGCAAAATTGGAATCATTATTCTCCAGAGCTACATTTTAAAGCGGAACCCGAGGGCGTAAATACGTTGGATTGCTTTGTTCTTACCTGAAGATGTCAAAGCCACTGTTTCTGGTCACAGCAAGTCGCAGTGGTGCTTTAATTGCAGCGCCCCCCGCCCGTTCCGGCCGACATTTAAATCCTCCCAGACTTAACAGTGGCGCTCCTTGCCCTTCACAGTTTGGTGGCTGAGTATAGCAGCTGCTGTCCCAACACTGCACATTCCCCTCATGGCTGCTACTTTTGCGCTTGGAAGCCTCCAGTGAGCCACACAAAGCCAACACGTCACATCACTTACATACCAAGAGACACAATATGGGCGGCTGTTTAAATGGAGATAAAATAAAATAAAATAAAATAATTGTGCGAGTGAGTGTAACAAGAGCTAAAGTGCGGAGAATTGTTATGGTGTCATTTAACGTATTTTACTGAAATGTCGTTTTATCAAATTATGGCTAGTTTATCAATTAATTCACGTTTTCGGTTCATAATGCGCTTAATTTCAAGAACAACGAAGGAGATAAGCGAGAGCCAACAAGCTGCCTGAACTACTTAAACAAGTGCAAAAGAGGCCAAAGAACTTGGTTTCAAGTGTGTTTGTGTGAGCGTGTGTGTGTATCGCCAATTATACTCAAACTAAAGGCGGCTGAAGTATCTCAGGTCTCCCGTCATCCAAACTATAATATTGTGAGTATTGCTGATTAACGAATCTGAGCCACACCGCAGCCGCGGTTAACATAATGAGAACATTTCTCGGCTTGATGGAAAATAATAACCCACTCAGAAACAACAACAACAACAAAAAAAAAGGTGACACCACTGTGATGGGAAGAACGTTCACTGAGAAAAATTTCAGACGGCTGCGTTTGTTTGGGACATTTTGAAAGATGATTATTGTGTGCAATTATTAAAAAAAAACATGTCCACCCTTGCTCGTAATTATACCTCTTTTCTTTTTATGGAAAAGCTTGAGAACACACCCCAGTTTGTCCATCAGTATGCTCTCCTGGCAGCTATGGGCAGAGGTTAACAAGACCTTAATTGGTATTTTCTTCAAAGCTCACAAAACTCAGGGGCAGCATAAGAAATGTCACATTACCATGTTGTCCAGCCACTTAAAAGCCCTTCAATGCTCGCGCTGTCCTGTGAGAACTGATTTTTAAGGACAGGGGTGCTTTAATGGCCACTGTTTTCCTTCTATGGTCAGCAATAAAGGACTAAAGCTCTTGCCGTGTGGCTAAATTGCATCACATAAAATACGCTTAAGACAAGCATTAAAGTGTAATTTGGTCCCCGTTCTCAACCCCTCTGCTTACAAAACAGCAACAGTGATCCAGACAAATGAGATGTTTGACGACGCCGCACTCAATAAAAGCTGGTACACACTCTTGACATTGCTGTATATTCCTTAAATGTTATGAAAATACAATATACAGAGATACAATACAATGCCTCGTATGTGATTGTACACTTGACCTTGTTTGGGGGTTGATGAGGAGCAAAAATATTGTGCCGAGCTCTTCCCAACAACATGCACGCATTTGGTTTGGCCTTTTGATTTTCCTAAAACACGAACAACTTGATGGGAGAAATTCAGAGAAAATGTTACACAATGCTGCAAAATTGTTTAATGTGCATCAACACGGAACATCTATCGTTTCTTTTAAATTCTACGTGCCATCTGAATTTCACAGCTTTATCGGCAGCAGATCATGACTTGGGAAAGTTACTACTCCTGTCATGAGATAACAAAAAAACTGAGGAACCAAAGAAAAAAATATGTATACCACCGAGTCCTCATTCAATGACGTATTTGTCATGTGCCGCATTACATTTGTGGCAAAATGACAAGCTTTGATGTCGTTGAGCCTTTGGCAGGTTGGACATGATTATCAATCAAAATGTCTACGTTCACTTGAAATCCAGACCCACTTTCCCCTGAAAGGCAAAAGGGTGAGTTGTGATGAGTTGCATCTGTGTATTATGCCACCTCTTTTAAAGCACTGTCATTTAACTGCTCCATGTAATTGCGTAACTCCTTGGAGTCGGCGAGCGCAACGTCCTGACACACCCACTTAATGTCCTGGTTGTGGCATCGGGTCAGCGTGCTAACAGTCGGGTAGCTACTGTCTGAGGGCATGGTGGTGAATGTGGTGAACTGTACTCGCTTCCTCTTAGTTGTCGGGGATTCTCCCTTGCCTTCCCTGGCCAGGCAGCCTGTGTCGGCTGCCCGGTGCACTTGACTCTGAATGTTCTTCTGCGCCGAGCCCCCGTTCAACAAGTGGCTGCCTTCCTCCAGCCCGCTGCTCGAGTCTATCATGGAAGTCTGCTCCTCCTGCTGGGGCGACAAGCTGATTTCGCTCTCCAGCAGCTCCACCTCGTTTCCCAGCCACACCCAGTCGTGGGCGTGGTTCATGTTCTCTTGGCCCTCGATGGACAGCTCTTTGTGGCGGTATTTTAACGTGTAGGAGATGCAGTTTATAAGAAACACGAGGATAGCGAGGCAGAAGACTCCCAGGAGGGCATACATGCCAATTTCCAGATCTGTGAGACCACGAGCAGTCCGTATGAGCTCATCTTCCATGTTGCGCTCACGGGGCAGGTCCACTTGAGCAGGGAAGTCAGCAAAGTCTATCGGCATCCTTTCACTCCCATCACCTGGGAGTTTATCACCATCGGGTCTGCGCATGATTGCACTTCCAGTAGTGGTGGCCCTGCTTTGCTCCATGTCAGATATTGAGCTGCCGTAATAGTAGTGGGCGTCAAGCCCAATTCTGTCGGGTGAGGGCGGCCTTCCTCTGTTCTCCATCTCCTCGCCATCTGTGCCGTAATCATTGCTGCCTCCCCTGGAACTGTCACTATAACCAAACTTCACCTTCACGTGACAGTTGCCCGTCGCCAGGACACTACGCCGTTTGAATTTCTGGCAAATCTCGCAAACAGTCATTTCCACCTTGACCAGCAGCCCTTGGCCCTCGGCCTCTGTCACAATGACAGGCCACTTCCACGAGGGGTTCTGCTGCACCGTCACCACGTCCTCATCCAGGGATGTGGCTGTCAGGCTGAAAAAGTCTGAGTTGTACAGGTCTAGAGGAGCCACGGAACCGTCGCTGAACTGCAACCAGGCACTTATCAAGGCCTCCTGTGAAAACACCAACACACAACAGTAAAGAGAAAGCATTTAGCACTACATAATGCATGCGGTACCTAAATACAATTACCAGCTTCATTTCACAAACCTGGAACTTAATTCCTTCTCAATGTGTGAATAACTTGTTGAGTATTATTTTGCCCGTACACAAACATGAGATTCGGAGGTTTAGGCGAGGGCATTTATATACCAAGCGGCTTACAATGCCGACTGTCAACCTGTTTTTGATTGATTTTACACTCACCATGTTACTTACATTTACCCCCCATTGGGTGTGTTGACTTTGATTCACATTTCTTGCCATTTAGTTCTACCTAACTGCATTGTTTTTGCGATAATACTGCTGTGTGGAAACAATAGAAAAAAAACCCTCAATCTTAATTCATGTCGCACCTTCTCATTAGTTTCATTTAGACTTCAAACCGCAGGACTTGGTGATGAAGAAAATATATATGGTCTTTCAATATTCTCTGAAGTGGAAGTACAGAGTAGCGGAAAACGTGAAGAAGTAGTTCAGAGACGAGGTTTGATGGGGAGATCAAAGAGCCCACAATGACGGTAGCTTGGGGAAATGAGAAAGGGAAGCAAAATATGATTTGAGGGCCAAGTTGGGGATGTAAGTCATATTTGGGTACAGAGACTGTGCTGTTGCAATTGCATGCACTCAGATTAAGCTCCTACTTCTATCACCTGCCCAAGGATACGCATTTGGTCACACTGTCACTTTCTGGTCTTGACTCAAGCGGGTTTGTGATATCTGGAGCAAATAAATAGACAGTACATGCACATTTGCAATGGTCCTTGTTTGTTTGAAATGTAGACACATGAAATGTAATGGTCTACTTGCCCGATAAAGGGTTTGCATTTAAAGATATCCTAATGAGGATCTATGTCAAAAACAGCCTTTGAAAAGATAATGTTGCTTCGTTTTAAGGGAAACTTTACTTTTAACACACTTTGCACACACAGTATAGACATCATTCAT